GCCGAAGTACAAACAATTATTGGGTTTCGTGGACTCTAATAATGGCCCTGTTCTTTTTGGGACCTTGAATTTGCATCTTCTTCCCCTGACAAAAAGCAGTCCATACCAGGGGGCTGATTAACCCCGCAATCCCGTAGTTATGCTGTACCGCATTCCTACATACGGGTGATTTGCCTGCCTACAAGCTCAACCGGCGATATTAAGACCCCACCCACACTAGTGCGTGAGGTACAGTACAACTACAGAAGTGCGTGGGGCTTATCAAATGAGCAACTTCACCGACAAGGAAAGTTAGTTAGCTTAACACTTTCCGTGCGACGGGTCCACACCCGTGGACCCGCAAAATAGTCCCTTCCGTGCGGCGGGTCCACATTGTGGACCCGGGTCCACACGGGTGGACCCGTCGCAAATTTTCCCTGTAGTGCCGAGGGCCTAATCGAGTATTTTATTAGGTTTTAGAGCAAAAAATATTTTTTCGAAAAAAAAAACCCTCCGCCTGTGGGTAGATGCGCTTAAAAAGGGCCCCGCACGAAAAGTGTTAAGCAACATATCGAGTTTATGCTACCCCTCAAACCACTCAATTGGAATGGCCAAAAAAAGGGGTCGGGGTGACCATTTACGCCCGTTTATTCTCAGATTTATTCGGCATTTTACGGGCGCTCGGCGCCTGTGAAGCTTAGGGTAGTCCACCCCGCAGTGCACGCATGCACTGCAGGCAATATTTTGCCTACACATCAGGCGTTATGAGCTTGCATGCTCTGAACCGAACCTGGCAGGTTTTTTAACGACGAATGTCGGGAAGCACTAAAGGGGTGAAGTTGTGCGTTGTACTTTCAGGGGGAGATGGTTCTTCTAGTGAGCCGCCTAAAAACCTAGAGAAATCCCCTCAATCTTCCGGAAGTAGGCAACTTACGGTGCACCTCCTACCTTCTCTACCCCCTGCCAGTTGGGCCTTTATCTTCCGTTGATACTCACGTACTTACATGACGCAGTCGCAGTCCACCCCAACCAGAATCTATCCCATCTGATTTTCGAGGGGAGGGTTGGGGGGGGGGCAACTTCAAAACATCGTGTACACAGCACAATGCTAAAAGTGCACTCTGAAATTTTAGAGTGCAAAATGTCTGAGTGCAGTTACACACACAGTCACACAGTTACAAAGAAGAATACTAAAAATACTTTACAATGAAAAATAAAAAAAATGACCCGCCCTTGCTGATTTGCACCAAACCACAGGGGGTCAGCCTTATCGGTTGTCCAAATCGTAGCGTCTGTGGCTACAGTACTGGGTACTCCGTCGCCCGTAGCCCATAGCCCCGCCCACTGCTCAGCGCCCGCCCCACTACGGGGTCAAGCAACTTAGAGCTTGCTTGAATAGTTTTGAGGGTGGAAAAACGGTTGACAGTTTGAAAATTAAGTACATATCGACCTTAGTATGTTGTGATTATCGGTGAGTACATGACAGGGGGCTGATTCACGCCGCCCACTTTTGTAGTTCTTCAGTACCACATGCACGCGTGCGGACGTGTTGCAACACGTGGCCATAAGAGTCCACCTCCTGCCAGAAAAAAGGATGCTGCATGGAGAATAAGAGCCACGAGCGCCGCGCCCCGCGACCACGCCTTCCGACAGGACCAACCCCTAACACTATCAGCAGATAAGCAGCCCGTGCGGAGAATGACGCAGCGGTTGTGAAAAGCGCGGCGTCTGTGGGGAGCAACAAGCGACACGCTCTAAACGGTTTAGTAGAAGGACTGTGAATGGCGTGATTGTGAACATGGTATGACCATGGCGGAAGTATAGGTCGGTGAGCATCGGAAGTTGGTTCTCGGCGCCCCGCGCCCCACGCCGCCCCTCCCACCACCCCCGGCCCGCCACACCTGCTGCGGATTTGGATTTGAGCAGACGGAGGCCTTTGAATGGACGGAATAAGAAAAGAAATGCCTCGCTGTCGCGGACTCAGGGACCCGCGAGCCACCACACAAACGCTCTCCCTCCGCAGGACGGTATAAAAAGCGGCGCGCGCGACGCCCCGGGCCCAGTCTGCCTCCGCCACGACCCCATGTTCGCCACGGGGATCGTGGCCACGCTCTGGACCACCCTGGCGGTCCTGGGCGCGTCGGCGGACGCCGCCCTCTTCACGCGGGGCCTGCTGCGCCTAGGTAAATGGTGAACGCTGCACTCCCCCCCGGCGGCGCGGCCGTGACGTGTCGGCTTGCAGGTACGGATTTTAAAGTCCGACAGTTTCTCCAGAAAAAAAAAATTGGAACAATTAAAAATGCTTCCAGAAAAATTGCAAAAAAATTAAACTCTTAAAAATATATGAAAAAGGGACTTTCCTAAAATAAATT